GTGCATGCAAGGGAGATTACAGCATCAAACATCTGCATAGTGTAGAAAGGCAGATCATAGAAGTTAGCGATCACACAGTATCCCAGTTATAAAAAGGATATACAAAGCACTTCACTCTATGAACACTGAGAAAAATTCTTCCCAGTGAAAACGATATAAAAGAGTCTGCAGAATTTTTCCTTCCCCTTAAGATTCGAGCAATTAAACCTCTCAAACTCACAGAACATAACATCAATAAATGATCCCTTAAAGTTACAATTTCTATTTTTTACCACTGTAATTAGTACAGTAACATAATTACACGATAAAATACTACTTTTTATTTTATCCAAGTCTTGCACTGGATCAGACATCACACTGAGTTTAGCAGAATCAATGAAGTTTGTGTTTACCGAAAGGGTCTTTAGAAAGACACTATTACATTATTTACTGCAAGAACAGCATGCTGAACAACATACACCTCACATTCTCTGCAATCATTACTTCAGGTTAAAACAGACATCCTCTGGAAAAATTTGATTTTAGCGTATCTTCAGTGGCCCTCAACAGGCTTCAAGAATAACAACAAAACCACTCCTGGGATTTAGTACTGAGTAAGCTTTAACTAATACCATAACAGGCATCTAACTTCAACAGTAAGATTTTGCTCCACAGTCAAAATAATTAGCAGAAGTCACCACTTTATACCACACCTGAAAACCAGAAGTTTCAAGACTGCAAATAAAATTGTAAAATTAATCTTCTACATATAGACTTACCCCGGGATAATGTTTCAGACTACTAATAAAATGTAAATTCAAACTTTCCCCCCATCCCTCCCCCTATAGCAACCTTTCCACAGAAGAAAATATTTCAAAAAATCATTTGAAAGTCATGAACAGTCAAATGTTCACATCTTACAGCTACCTAAGATGCAATGTAAGAAAGCTAGAAAGAGAAAAGGCAATGCACAAAATAGTTATGCACACAGCACACTTCTCAACCCACACACAATATAAAAGCATTCTCTCTCACTACACGTCCCAGAGGCAACTGAAAAGACAATTTATGAACGCCATCTGCTTCTATTGCCCCTCTAACAACGTATTAGCAAAATACATGTATTTCAAAAATAGAGGAAAAAGCCTTACTCTGCTATATCAAGATATCCACAGGAAGCAGCTGCATGTAGAGGTATCCAGCCTTCATTATCTGGTTGATTAATATTTGCTCCATTTTCCACCAGAAATTTCACCATATCTACGTTATCATCTATACAAGCCTATAAAGAAAGAAAGATTTAAGAAATAAGTTCACATTAAAGCTGTTCTACAATACTGTGCATCTTTAAGCAACATCTTCTGGAAAAAAAGGTAAGTATTTTCAGGTCTGATGAGAGAGTAGGGTTTATTTGATGGGGTTTGACAGCAAGACAGGAAGTATTTGAGAGAAAAACAGCAGGTCTTACAGATTTGTAAAAAAAACCCTTAAACAAACGAATTCAAACAGAGTTTAACAAAACCAACAAACATGATTTCCTCAGGTAAATTTGTTCCAGCTTTCTGAGAAGCCATTTACAGTCCCCACTGCAACCTTGTTCTCCAGTACAAAGCGGTTCCCTTTATAAAGCCTGCGGGCCCTCGCTCCATCCCAGGCCCAGCTCACTCACTCAGGCGGGTATTACAATTGAATAAACAGCTACACCATGAAGTAGAACTGTTGTGACCAAGAGATGGGGAGCAGTTTGGAAAACAATACCATAACGTGGTTTTAATTACAATGCAGTGGTGACCAGGGAGTATGGAAGAGGAGGCTACGTCGCATTTGAACACCCCCCCTGCTGTTTTCTACCGCAGCATATTCTATACCACGATACCACCATCTTTTAACAGCCTATCAATCACTGCTGTTTATAAACATACTTTGAGTATCAATTTGGCACATTGCAAAGATATTATCATTGGTGCACATCTCTTAATTACCACGCAAACAGTGTTGCCCGGATGCAGAACTACTGCCGCTCCCTGGACCTCCATCTTGACTGGCTCCTATTTTGCCTTTCTTCTCTGCGTTTGAGTATTTTTCTCACAGGGTGCTCAGAGAGTTTTCTTGCCAACTTCCATACTGCTGCCCTTAAAAGGGCAGAGCAACAGAGAGAAAAGTCCCTCTGCATTTCAGGACAGCAAGGACTCAAAACAGCTAGACCCCACAAGGCTGCTATTAATTTTTTAGCTTAATAAATCAACAATACTACATAACCAGAAGGCTGAAATGAGAACTTTTACTGCTGGGCTCCTAAATCGTTCTAGAAAATTATGCCTCTAATTAAATGCAATTATGGTATAAATTTTACTTTTCAGAATAATTCTACAGCAATAAAGACTGAACATTTTCATTAGGGAAAAAAATCTCGGATTTCCTTATTTAAGCAGCTGGTGCCTTCCAAGATGAATCCCGAAGCTTTCCACCATTCTGCAGTGCTACACCGTGATGGAGAAGTGTTGCTGCCCTGTTTAAAAAGCCAAACAAAACCAGCAAGAAATTATCCCTCTTTGACCCCATTTGCTTTAGTTAGGTACAAACTTAAGGCTTTGTTTAGGATGTAGCACAGCAGTGATTCTCATCTGGACTTGTTCATCCATAAACTTGCAGCTAGACTGCAACTAGACTGCAGTACACTGCTTGCATTATTTGTTTCTAAGTTAAAAACACATTCTTGAGTGAAAAAATTCATAAACCTTCCTACCTTTTCAGGCATTCTTGAAAATTGCCCTCCTGAAGGATTTTTTAAAATTATCTTTTTAGTCATATCCATCCCTGAAAACAGCAATTCTTTTAATAAAATAATTTAGAACATACTCCAACAATAAAGACTACAAATTCCTCAATCATATTGTCTTCAATTTCTTCCACGTATCATCAGTATACAATGCTTATATGCTAGTAACAAGCTCTGAAAGAAAAGAATTGCCTTTCTTTGCAAGGCATTTTTTTACTTAAATGAAAAGGAGCTAAATGCAAGACCTCATAACTCAGTTCATGAGGAAAACAAATTCAACAAACACAGATGTTTACACTTAACAGAAACATTAACCTAGCTGTATTTCGCACATGCCATATATCCAGTTTTTCTGGATATCCAATTTGCCTGACCATTGATATCCTAGGTATAGCATACTATTCACCAATTTATTGTAAGACAAATAAACTTGTATTAGAGAACTTTGAAATTGCCTATGCATTTTTAAATATAAATCTTTTGCTATTACATTTCAATATGCTGCATACTCATATATCTTAAAATCCTCTGAAATTCATAATCCATGAAAAAATGATACCCTAAAATTGATTAGCACTATCAAAGAAAACCCCAAACCAAACCCCAAAAAGCCAGACCATCTGGTTGTGACAGAACCCAACACAGAACAATCCTTGCCCATTTTTCAAGTATACATAAGAAAAACTGGCAAGACATAGCCATAAAAATACTGTAGCTAAGTGAATCAAAAGCTTACATATGCAGCACATTAAAAGACATATGACTAAGTGGCTAAAAATATTTGACCAAATTTGGGCAGTTTATTGTGCCATACATGGCAAGAATCAGGAGAGCTCAAATACACTTCTCATGTATTATCAGAGATTGCACATTCATGACAAGCAAAGATAAACAATCTGTGAGATTATATATATTAGAATGATAGAAGAGTAACTACTAAGATAATATAAGAATTTATTTGCATGTGCAAATGGGAAAGTACTGGCATTACTAGTGATCACATTTGTGACATTCAAATAATCTTCCTCATAACTGATTATACAACCCGAACAACTGTTCTAACAATTTTATTATGAGACAACAGGAGTCACAGAAACTGAAGTTGGTGAAATGGAAGACAGTTGTGCAATTTTAAAAATATGACCTTTGAGCTTCTTTAAACAAAGATTACTTAAAAATGAGCCTTGTACCTGAAATATTTGATAGAAAACTCACTGTGGTCTCCAAGAAGGTTATTACCTATCTTAAGGTGAAGAAAAGCAAATGTAATCGATGCTATTGCTGAAGAATGCATATAGAATACATCCTATTTCTCCTTGTCCCCTTTTTCACCTTAACAGCACTGCAGGTGTCTGATGGACCTTATCACTCTCAGTACTTTCCATATGAAAGACACCTCTGACTATCAGCAGGTACCTTAAGTCAGAAAGCTAAGAAAAAAATGTTATAAAAGAAATTTTATCTCAATGTTTTCCCATTTCTACTCCGACTGTCATTGCACTATCTTTGTAGTCACTTCTAAAAGCAGTATTTATCAAGTGCCAGAAGTGTCTCTGTTGTTAAAGACTGACATCTGAACTCCAAAAGGCAAGCTTGTCAGAACAGCATGATAAACTTAAAGCAACAGCCTCTGAAAAGTCTGCCCTTCTAGGCCTCAACCTGAAAGTACTGCAACGGAAAAAGCAATGTACGTGCAAGATGTAAGTAACAAGAGTACCACTGATGTTTCAGTGACTCAAAAAGATAAATTCCCGTGATGACTTCTGTCCCTCTCGGCACAGAGGACAGATAGCCACAGGCCTTCCTCTTCCACATCTGCTACAGTCTTTTTAGGATTAATCTCAATTCTTGGCATTCATCTCCGCATCCCCAGTCTTTCCCTTCATGGTCCTCAGTTCCCACCTAGAGCCTCAGTTAGAGAAACAACCACTTAAAAGAAGCAACAGGTTGTCCTAAAGCTCTTTCCAAGTGCTTCCTAACCACCACATCCGTAGAGCATGCACACCAGCCAGCTCCTGGGGGAAGCGTGGGAGCTCACGCTCAAGATTTCCTTCATCCCATGCCCTGGTTCTGTCTCTCAATCCCGTTCCCAGCCTCCACAAACTGGTAGAAAGGCAGCATTTCTGCATGAAGTGCTCATTACTCTGCCAAATTTGATGGAAGTTAGCCAACGGGCCCCAAACAGAACAACAGCTGGACAGTGCAATCATATAAACCTCGTTTCCTTTGGGAACTCATTTAGAATCTAGGCTAATTAGTCATAAAGGAAGCAAAACAAAGCAAAGTTGATAATACAAAGTCTGGTTACCTTTTCTGATAAGAACAGAGATGAAATCTCAAAGGAAGTATATTAAGGCCCGGGAAAGAAAACCACTTTCTATTTGTACAACAACCTGAAACCTGGACTGCAAAGACCAGCAAAGATCAACAGTGCCTGGCTCCCACACAGACCAACCCTAGGTAGGTCCAACTTGTCCTGGGAACAACATGACTGTGTTAAGTGAAACAACATTTCAAACTTTTCCCAGAAATACTTTCTGATCACTTGGAAGGGGATGACCAGATGCCTGATGAACATGGTAGATTTTAACTGTATTCTCCATAACTTCATATCCTGGAAATGGCATGTGATCTAGCTGGCTCTCCTGACTATCAGGTGTTAAGTGCATAGGTGAAGGGTAGATTTAAGTTAGTAAGTGACCTTAAAATAGATAGCTTTAAAAGAGATATCTAGAGTGCCTGGTCCCTCAGCCAGTAACCACCCAAAGAATTCAGCGGACAGTACTCCTCCCCAAAAGACAGGAAAAACAAGTCTGTATTTTTCAAAAATATCAGAAATCTTGTCAGGAAAGAGACAAATAATCAGTTAGAATGCCGTCCCATATATATGCAGCAAAGCTACCCAGTATGTATCTTATCTGACAGGACAAGGGGTAATGGTTTTAAACTGACAGGACAAGGGGTAATGGTAATGGTTTTAAACTAAACCAGGGTAGGTTTAGACTAGATATAAGGAAGAAATTCTTTACAATGAGGGTGGTGAAACACTGGAACGGGTTGCCCAGAGAGGTGGTGGAGGCCCCATCCCTGGAAACATTCAAGGCCAGGTTGGACGGGGCTCTGAGCAACCTGATCTGGTTAAAGGGGTCCCTGCTCACTGCAGGGGGGTTGGACTAGATGACCTCTAGGGGTCCCTTCCAACCCAAAATGTTCTATGATTCTATGATTCTATGATCGGACTACAATTTTTATTGGTTTTCATCAATGATGAGATCTAATGAGGTAATGATATTTACCCTTAGTACAGAAAGATGTCAAACATATGAACACGGAGTAATACGTTAGACTTAAAGGGATAAAACAAGTGAAACAACCATTTTGAATTCCTGTGGGAATGCTGGAAACAGGATAAAGACCTCACACAGTGGCCTAGAGAATAGTTTATCCCTTCGTTTGATTTATCTAGGGAACCAAGTGCAGTGAGTCCAATGGAACTAAGCAGG